TTTTTGTTTTTGGCAACCCACTATAAAATCATTTTTCGCATAAAAGCTATACTCTAAGGATTACAACTATCCGCTTTATATTTAATTAAAAAAAAAAAATTACACATAAATTGCAAATTTTGACAAAAAAAATCGCATAACTCAAAAACAAAACAAAATTTCGTTCTGAAAATACGATCACATTTTTTATATTACTTTAATTTGTATTAATTACTATTTGCTGGAGGCCAATGATTAAAAATAAAACCGCTTGGTTCCATACTTTATATACAAGATCATCAGTATCATTAAATAGACATGAAAAATGTCAAAATTTTTTGATAAATATAATTTTTAAACACTTTTTTCATTGTCCTGGTGTCTTATCTTACTTGAAAATTTTCTCTCGGCCGCGAGCTCTGACACACCATGTATAGTTTTTAGAAAAACTATGAAGTATGTCTTTGAGATAAAGAATCAAACTAAGGTTCGGCTATAGTCTTAATTTTTTATGTTATACTTAGTTTTGGCAACAAAATGACAAAGCATTTTTTTCTAATTCTGTGTTCACAAAAGTAGGGCCGGTTCAAATGCAGCCTTATTTGAGACTTGTTCCCGTAAAAAAAATGTGGATTACTTAAGTAGTAGTCTCACAATTTGTCCCCTTTAATTACGTAACCAAAGTGGCGGTCAAGACAGGTATAAATTTGGATTTTACAAAATTTTTATAATTAATTAAATAATACTGTAAACCACGAAGTCAAAACAGTAAGTAAATAAATTCTTTATAGAGTACGTTACCTACCTGCCTGAAAATTTTCTTTTGTCATCATCTTCATTTAAATAAATCAGTTTTTTAGTTCGTTGCTCTTAAATTGAAGACACGTTACTGATATAAATAGCAGCAATGCATTGATTTTTACTTTTTTAAACCGAACATGGGGCTATGTTTAGAGTTAAAAAATGTCCCTGAATCTGTAAAATATTAATTTTCGCCTTTCGTTCATTAATTTATTTCCAATTTCCAAATTATATTAACCATTTGTAGGTATATTTTATAGTCCCTGAATGATGGGAGTTCCACAATTTTACATAAAAACAGTGTGAATAATTATTTTTTTCACAAATTATAATATTACCATGAAGTTTACCACAGCTTACATAACATGCTTGTGCACTTTTGTATACCTCCGAATTAAATTCTATTATTTTTCGTTACCTAATTCTGGTTGCAAATTAAAGGAATATTAATCATCCTATTATACTGTTGTTCATTTTAACAAAATGTTTTGTGCTCTTTGTCTGCATTTAATTAATTAATTCATGGTATACACGTAAGGTCGCAAATTATTTTGTATTTCTGCATTTCAAATGATTTTTAGAGAAAATTTACGAAAAGCTTTTAGCGACTAATTAATTTTTTATTTACCAATAATTCATCCCAGAATATGCATGTTTGACAAACCTCTAGCTTCACAATATTTCAATAAAATCAAAATTAATTCTCCATATTTATACAACTTTATAAAAACAGAGTTAACTTTTTATTATTTAATAATGTTTTAAAACATGAATTTTAATTTATATAATTCTTTTGGTTTAATACATTTTAGTTTTCTTATTTGAGATACATAATAATTTATATTATAAGACAATAAAATATTTTTTTTTCGCTACGGAGAATTACCAATGATTGTAAAAAAAACTTAATGACATACAGGATGCGCCAAAACTCGCGCCCCAGAGAAAATTTTCTAGTAAGGTAAGCTACCAGAAACATGAAAAAAATGTTTAAAAAATTCTATTTGTCAAAAAAAATTGACATTTATTTTTTGACATTTGACAGTTTTTTATATCTATTTAAGGATATTGATAATCTTGTATATTTTTTTTTACAATTACTTAGTAAAGGAACAACCTCTTTTAATAGCCTATAGCAAAAAAATTTGGAAAATTATTTTTCCAACAGAAATAAATAGACTCAAAGTACAAACTTTAAACCCTCATAACTTCGAAATTTTTATAGATAATTTTTTTTTAACATTCTTTCCTTGTTACTGGTATCTTACCTTATATGGCATTTTTCTCTGGGGCGCGAGTTCTGGCGCACCCTGCATCTTAAGTCCGGATAAATACTTATACTTCTTTACGGACTATTTTGTCTATACTTTGCGGGCAATGTATTCAGAGAAAAGCTAACTAGTTCAGTTAAAAAATATAGTCAATAAAATAATTGATTTAGTTTACGAGTATGTTGAATTGTTTTTAAAATGCTTGGATTTGAATTGTCAGTTATTAAGTTCAAGTTTACAAATAAAAGATTTATCGTCAATTACCTTGTATAATTTTTAAGAAAAACACCGGCAAGTGGTTTCTGTCGTTTTTCACACATCAAAATTTTCCAAATCTTTCATAGTTTTCACATAAAAAGTCCAATATCGTATTATTCATTCTTATTATTCTTGTGAAAGATTATAATTCACGGTCACAAAATGTTTATTTAGTGATTTTCCAAACTATTGAGAGTAGTTCTGCTTGGGTAAATTTATTTGTAAAAATTTGTTAATCCCGCATCAATAAACCACAAGGTCTCATTAGTCAGTGCTTTTCGTTAATTATATAGCGTATGCCCAAAAATTAATTACACTTCCATTAATTAAAAAAATCATCTTAAATTATTCGACGCTGAAAAAATCCCAAAGGATTTCATTAAAACACAAACTGGCTTTTTATGAATAATTTATCGTATTTATGCGATACTTAACACATCAAAGCTACAGTAAAAATTTTCGCTCTATATTTAAATTGCAAATGACAGAATCGCTTGCTGTAATTAATAATAATGAATTTGTACAAAATTCCCGATTTAATAGAAAGTTTGCGACCTACGCCAAAGCTGCAATGTTCTTTCCGTTATTTAGTGAGTCAGGAATCCGGAATTTGTGGGATTCCCATCCGCCATTTGTTTACTATACAAAACTTGCTACGACACAAGAGAAAAATCAAGTTTAAGGTAAATCATGAACAGGTTATTAACTGGCTATTAAACTTTTTCCGTTCACAATCTTGATTTCACAGAAAATTACTTGAATAAAATTTCCAACATAGATTTGGAAACTATCTACGTATGTATATGTCAAGTTATGAGATGTATGACGTCAAACATTTTGATTTCTTGTTTACTATTGTCGACACAAATACTAGATATTAGGTAATTTATTATTTCATTAATATCTATATTTATAACAAGCATTAACAAGAATAAATTCGAATTAATTTTTTTACTTAAAAATATTGTTTAGTCGCTAATCATTTGTTCTATATTTCTATTTTAAAAGTTAGAAATTTAAAGCATTAAATGATGTACCATTAAAAAATTAACTTTATTAGTACAAGTATACAGTGCGTCCTATTTCATTAAAAAAAACTTAACAATGATCGTATTTTGTTTCTTTTCTGACGACTAGAGTGGTTCTTAATAAAATTTCAAAAAACAAGTTTCTTTTAATTATTTCTAGAATAGCCTACTCGTACATATAAAATTTATAATATTATTTAACTGCTTTCCCGTCAAAGGAATAGATTTCTAGAGTTTTTCAAATGTCAAATTTCTAAGAAACTATGATTTGAAATATATACTTCAACTGATAAACAATTATTTGAGTGCTGAAAATTAATTTTATACTGAATGTAAGATTGCTTTTATCTACTAATATGAGTAAATAAACAATTTTTACATACCAAAGCTTGTATATTATTTTTTTCACTACTAGCTGTAAAAGATACCATTATTATTTACTTTGTCGAGAGATTGTGAAGTTGTTTTTCTCTCCTAATAGTCAATAATCATTTTCATTATAGACCAAGAGCTATAATGTATTAGAGGTGAGAAAATGCCGATGTTGGAGGATATTATATTGAAATTTATGCAAAACTAAATAAAAAAAGATTTAAATTTCTTCATTAAAAATAGAATAATCACAACTCTAATACTTCTGTCTATGTCAAAACTGTCAAAACAACAAATGGGTTTATTTTAGTTGAAATCCTACCTAGTAGGGAAAATTTTAATACTTTTTGCCTTTAATACTTCCAATTTAAATTAATAACTCAGATAAGTAATTAATTACTAGGTAAAAGTGAATTAATAAAAATAATAGTTGTGTATTATAACGTGAGGAAGGTTATATTTTACACCGTTGTATTTTTGGGTAATACATACGCTAGTAGTGAAAAAAATATTATATAAAACACGTTAGAGAAGATTTCTATGGCCTCGCATTTATTATTTCCTTTGATGCTGCGCATCTCCGGAAATAATCAGCTTGGCTATAAAAAATCTCTTCTCTACATTTTGATATAATATACTATTATTCACAATCATCCCCCTTAAAGCACAGAAAGCCAATAAAGCATTTATCAAATTTTGAAAAACATGACCTATGACACACACTTCAGGTTGAGAAATGGTCACATGCTTATCAGGTTTCGGGTTGAGAAGTGACCATTTCCCAACCTCACTCTGTACACTGAGACTATTTTGCAATTTGTGATATTTACTAAAATTATTATTATAACAAAAAACAAGTTATGTATATTTGAACGCAACTTTTCACAAAATTACTAAGAAAACTGCAATTGCTTTTGTTCTACTATTTATTAAAAGTTACGTAGAGAGCTTTTGTGTAAAACTGTAATGAAAACCATTTAATTTGAAAATCTATTTTAGCATAAAGAAAACCAAAAAACCTCCAAACAAAATCGTATTAAATTGAATTGGTAATGAAACATAAATAAAATTCTGAAATGTTCTCGTTTGATTTTAATAAATAAAAATGTGTTGTCATTCTATTTCCAATTTGATTAATTTTTATTAAAGATCAACACAAAACTAAATTTAATTTTGATTCCCGCAAAATGTATCTCGGCCAGTCATTGGAATACAAATGATTGTGTTGGGATATTCCTACGTTAAAAATTAAAATAAGAATAATATATACAAACATTCACCAGAAGCACGCATCATTTCCCAATGGTCTTCGACTAGAAGGTGTCCATTCCAGTTCCAGTCTGCACAAGTGGCGGTTTACTAGTTTAGTGTTGTAGATAGTGCCAATTTGCTATTTTATTTTGAAAATTTATTAAGGTAATTTTAATTTTTTTCTTGTGAATTATTTTTCCGGTTACGCCTTTTATGCATTATTGAAATACGAGTGCCAACACATTGGTAGTACAGCGGTGTAATTATTTTAAATAATTTATTGTGAATAAATTAGAATATGGGTAACCTTTATTCGCATAATGTTGCCATGAACTTGACTCTTGCGAAACTCTTTATTCTTTCAAAAACTGGAAGGGAAAATTTTTTCTCGCTTTCGGTTTCGCATTTTTTGCCATTTCATTTTATTTACTATTTCATTTTTTACCTAACACAAAATAATTAACAATAATTAACACCGTAACGATAATTAAAAATTACACACTCAACAATGACAAAGGGCCTTAATAAGATTTGAAATGTATATACCTCCTTGAAAATTCATTTGTTTGAATGAGGTTATTGTTATCAATATCAAAAAAATGAAAGTTTATACTAGTTTCATGTAAATCTCGAGCTAGTTCAAGGTTAACAACAATGTTTTTTTAAACATTCAATCCGTATTTAACAATGCAAAAGACAATTATGTCATTAATTAAATAGGCTCGTTTTTTTAATTGGGATTCAGCTTTCGTAAATATTTAAACAGTGAATAATCATGTAAATTATTAAAATTGGACAAATCTAATTTTTTAATTAAATTATTGAATTTCAATATTTTAAATATTACATTGTAAACAAATGATGATACAGATCTTCGTTTTAGGAACTTAGAATCGTATTTTTTAACTAGACTAATGCATAAATGCGAAAGTTTTTCCTCATTGCTGATAATTATCTAATCTATTTCCCCCTGTACGTGTGATCGTGTCAGAAACATATTGTTATCGTTCAGAAACTGTAAAAAACTGCAACGCCTGTTTTTATGAGAGTAGAAGAGAAAACAATTATTTTCAAAAAGCGAATTAAAAAATTAATTCACAATTAAACTAATTCAAATTAAACTCTCAATTGTAAACAGAAAGTGCATTTCAATATTAAAATACGGAATATCTAAAAACACTTGGCTGTAGAGCAATAAAAAAATTTCTTTATTCAACTTTTCGACTTTTCGAAAAAATGTAAAAATTGTGTGGATGTTTGTTTCATTTATGATGACCAAGATTTTTTTGGGAGCGTGTGTTGCATTAACAACACTTTCATTTAGCGATTGTCTAAAAATCAATTACATTTCATTTTAGTCATTTAGCATTGCTGATTAAAATCGCCAATCTGAAATCGAAACAAGGTCTCAATTTTCTGATATTGGGACACCTGACCATATTAATCCATACACTTTTAAAATACCCCGAATTCCACGTCAGTTGTTTTTTTACGATATAAACCTCACGCTATTTCTTATTTCAATAAATATTCATAATGTGTATATCATAAACATATAGCCGGAAGAGAAATTAGAAAAACTAGAATTTTTCTTCAGCAAAAACCAAAAAAAAAAAACAAGAATCACTCAAAAATAACCTTGAACTATACTTCTATTAAGATTTCTAATTTTGACCAGTTGCCAATAAAATCAAAAAAAAGTATGGAAAATGGATACTTTTAAAAACTCGTTTTCAATTTAAACCTGTTGATTTAAAGTAAAAAACCAAAAAGATACAATTCAAATACAATATTAATGTATACATAACCACACTATGTAAATCGCATACACCTACGCAGCTACTTAAGAAAAATGCATAAACCATTTTTTAAATCTATTTATTTTAAATAATTAAAAAAAAAATCAATGCATGAAAGTAAATAGCGGGCAACTAGCTAAATATTAACAAAAAAATACCTAAAATATCAAATAGGTATAGTTTGTCTAAAAATATAGCAATTTTATACCTTTCACGTACTTGAGGGCGTTACTATGTCGTAAAAATATTGAGCCACCGACCGAGTGCTTGAGGTTTTCTTATGTTTGTAATAGATTTATTGGGGTGGTAGCCATTTCTACCATAAACGATCCAAAAAGTTAAATATCGTTGTAAAGATCATAATATCTTTATATGAACTTTAACAATTTTGCTTATGCATGTTTTTCACATTTAGCAACAGTAGGCTATGGTCCTGATTATCACTTCAACATTTGATTTGAGTAAATGTCAAAACTTATTCCAGTTTTTATCAAAAAAGAAATAAATTTGTTGCTGTACAATTTGGGAGAAGTGAATGAGGAGCATGGTGAGCAAAATAAATAAAATAAATTCCCGCACTTCCAAATATTTTTAATTTTTTATTGTTGAGTTTTATTAATAAAATGTTGGTGTTCAACGTGGTGTAGTTTCTTTTTATTTTACTTTTTGTCCTATTTTTGATAGGTTTATTAATTGAATAAAATTGAGATGAAAATATATATTTCGAAAATTTTTTAGTTTTATTCCTTAAGAATTCATTAGTTTCCATTTACGATTAGAAAACTGCACAATATTATACAGGTACAATAACCATCTTAGATGTTTTGCAAAAATGAAGAAAAACCTCCATTCTCTCTTGTGACATATTTCTCTTCTTAAAAAAACAATCAGACCAAAACTATGATTAAATGTACGATTTTTAAATTTCTTAAGTAAACAATTGTAAATTTACTTTGTATTCTTTGCTCTAATGTTTTTTTTTAAGTAAACATAAAGCTATTTCAAAATTTATATCTGAAAAGAACAGTTTTTATCTTTACGAAATAACTAAAATTTACTAAAATACTAAATTTACAAATGGCAAAATCTGATTTACGCTATGGAAAAATTCGTTTAGCATTTTTTATTATCTATTGAATATTTATTTCCTGTATTTTTACACGATTATTCATCTTTGTGTGTTTGTGGTAATAATTTAAAGGAGTTAAATCCGAAACCACAAACGAGCAATTTTTTCAATTAATCTTGCATTGACACATGTAAATATAGTAATACTTACAATTTTTGAAGTATAGAGGCTAAAATTTGTCATGTAGAGTAATGTAACTAATTATAAAAATATACAGGTGTACCAGCAAGTTGGTAAAGTACATTATTAACCTTTATATGTTAATTTTTTTAAACATTATACAGGAAATTGATAGATACTAATCTAGTGCATCGCCTAAAATTATTTTTAACTATACAATATGTCCCAAAAATAAGTTAGAAATGTTACAATAAATAAAAAGCTACATTGGAAAATAATTTTAGGCGATGCACTAGATTAGATCTATCAATTTCTTGTCTACATTTCTACCAATTTTAACATTTAAAGAACAATTATAGACTTTACCTACTCACTGAGACGCTCTGTGTAATAAGTATGTTTCGAAGGTTATCAAAATCGAACAATTACTATTGTTGCATAATAGTAAAAATTGTTCCACGCGCTTGTAGAAATAACACAAAAAAGAACTTCTGAAAACCCATGACATTGAGGTATTTTATAAAATAAACCACAAATAATTTCATTCAGTCTTTCTCAACGTGTAAAATGTGGAAAACTAAGAAAAAAATATTTTATTCATTTCAGAAGTCAAGAGGTCATGGATGCAAAATTCCACCGTGTTAAAACCAAAGATACAGACGAAGAAGAATTTGCTCCAAGCGAAGTATACAGAATTTGGAAAAATGTTCTTGTCATCGGGTTTGCTTTTATGATCCATTTCACCGCTTTCTGGGGAACCTCGAACTTGCAGAGTTCCATTAATGCAGACGATGCTCTAGGAACGTTTACTTTAGCGGCAATCTACGCATCTCTAATATTATCCAACGTGTTCCTTCCAACTATAGTAATCAGGTGAGAAACTCAATTAATATGCGTGCTTGTCATACGTATTAGCGAGAGTCGACACGCAGATTGCATACATAATTGTTCAAAAGTTTGAGAGCTCATCTGGGACAATGACTGATTTGGTGTTTTTTTCAGTTTTTGGTGCAAAATGCGTAAATTATTTATTAAATTTTATTTACAATCACTAATGTGATCGCAAATAGTTTGTAAATAAATGGTGTTCTTCTTAAAATGTTTAAACAAAAAACCAAATATTTTCAAAAAAATTTAGTCTTTTAATAAAATGTTAAAATTAAGAAATGTTCCTTAACTAAAAAAAATTTAAAACAAAAAACAAAACGGCAATATCGCAAAGCATTCCAAAATAAAATGTTGATATCAGGAGCACAGCAGTGCAAAGCGTGGCCAAAGCGAGAATGTATGCGCATCGTAATGACTGATCACCATCTACGCACAGATTCCAGTCCTTGCTATCATTTTTGCGCAGGGGCCCTTGCTAGTATCCTAAAAAGAAGAAACTGAGTCTGGAAATGTAACGTCCGAGATTGGGCGTGTCATAAGTACCTCCTTTCGCTTCTGCGACCCTGTTAGTCACTCTTTGTTTTTGAATATTTTAGCATTGAAATGATTAGAATAAATTAATTGTGCTTCTATTTTATTTTGTTTTAAACATGTTTTAACAATGAACATTTAACACAAAAGTTTCTTTGGTTCCTTGCGATTTTGTATTTTTCATATTTCCTCTATGAATATTTTGTTTAATGCGTATTTTGGACTTAAATATTTTATTAATTTTGGTTTTTACTTTGAATTTTTGACAGTAAATTATCCTCCTTCATTCTCGTGACTGCGCCTTTCGATCTCGATAATGAAATATTTTCCATTTTGGTTGTCATACATACATACTATACTTTTAACGTTACAATGTAGCATCAATTCACATGTTTTTTATCCTGTATACAGGCTGCGCCAGAACTCGCGCCCCAGAGAAAAATGCCATATAAGGTAAGATACCAGGAACATGGAAAAAATGTTAAAAAAAATTTATCTATAAAAATTTCGAAGTTATGAGGGTTTAAAGTTTGCACTATGACTCTATTTATTTCTGTTGGAAAAATAATTTTTCAAGTTTTTTTGCTATAGGCTATTAAAAGAGGAAACAAGGAAGCTGTATCCTAAATTGTAACTCTGTTCAATGTTATTTGTGGCTTTTATTGTCAAAATTTTTGTCCCTTTACTAAATAATTGTAAAAAAACATATACAAGATCATTAGCATCATTAAATAGATATAAAAAAATGTCAAATGTCAAAAAATAAATGTCAAAATTTTTTGACAGATAGAATTTTTTCAATATTTTTTTCATGTTCCTGGTATCTCACCTTACTTGAAAATTTTCTCTGGGGCGCGAGTTCTGGCGCACCTGTATGTGTAAATTATTCAAAATCAAAAAAAAATTGTGTTTTTACCCAAAGCACACAAAACAAAAATGAAAAACTACTCAAACATTATGTCTTATAAACCCTGACTGTTTGTTTACTTTTGAGTCAAATTTGAAATTATGCAGTTTTAAAATTTTAATCAATTTCTAATTCGTAATTATTATCTCTAGTAGATATTAGAAATGTCAAAAATGTTACTCGCACTTTTAATTTTTTTATTATAAGTCCAGTACAACTCTTGGCTTTCGAAACTTGTACTACATTGTCCTTCAGACTAACAAATGAACCATATCTTTCTACTATGTACATATGCCTTCAAACAAAAATGCATTCCAGTCCAAGGTTGAGAATGAGATCATGAATATTTAATTTAAACAACTTACGAATATTTAAGAAATTAATAGCATTTAACGTAAAATTAAACACTGTAGTACAACAAAAAAAATAAAAAATATAATAAGTTAAAAATGATCACTTTTTTCAGGTGGTTTGGATGCAAATGGACGATAGCGTTATCCTTCATTACCTACATGCCTTTCATGATAGCACAATTTTATCCGAAATTTTACACAATGATCCCAGCTGGTTTGGCGGTTGGTTTTGGAGGAGGTCCCCTATGGTGTGCAAAATGTACTTATTTGACAGTTATTTCCGAAGCATATGGACAACTTACTGGAACTTCGGCCGAGATTGCTGTCACACGTTTCTTTGGTGTATTTTTTATGTTTTACCAGTTTTCGCAAGTTTGGGGAAATCTTATCAGCTCGGCAGGTAGGTGGTCAAATTACATACTACAAAGTGTCCTTCCAGTCTTCTTATATAAAACAAAAACAAAAATGATTATTAATCATAAAAAATAACATTCCAGCATAAAAAACAAAAAAAAACTTTAGTCCAGGAGCTAGTGATTTTTTTTAACTAGATTCCCCAGTCGATAAGATTGTTCAGCTAGTGAAGCTATTTAAGAAATTCTAGGTCTGGAAAAATTTTCCGGTGGGTTCAAATAAGTTGTTTAGTTTTTGCGGTGTAATTTTTTTTGATTTACCAAAGTGGATCGATCATAAACTTAGTAAAATCAATTTGCAAATATTCATGACTACGAAACTAAGAGTAATATATTTCTTCTTCTTCAGTTTATTATTACACATAATATAATTTTCTTCATTTAAAATCACTAACAAAACAACCTTATTGATGTTTGTTGACTGGGAAAATTTGTTCCAAGAAAAATCACTTTTACTGCACCTTCAATAACTTTTTTTTAGAAATAACTAATAACAATATCTTTTCTCGTTACACCGTAATGTCTCATTTAATATCATTACATTTAATAGCAATAATAAAAGAATTCTAGTCATCGAATTTAGCGTAAACAAACTTCAAGAATCATTAATTATAGTAGCATATATTATTTAAAAAAATTGATTTCAAATTTACCCTTCAAACATTGGAATTTCTCATAGAGTTTCTCGAATACAAAAAATCGGGTGTGTCAAAAAGTCCATACAGAGATATGTGGTCACACATAGAAAACGATTTTATTTAATCGAGTGCTCTGAGGACTTACTTTTCAAAGAAAACTCTTAAAAGAAAATAAAGAAAAATGACAACGCAGTTTAAAAACACCACCTATTAAATATTATTAAATATTACAAATGTACTATACAAATCGCATATCGTTTAAAAGCTTGTCAAAAATGCTACCTATACATAAAAACAAATACAGGGTGTTTTAACTTTATGCGTGTTGTCATACTCTAAAAGTTTACTATTTGCTAAAATTAAAAGCTATTTTAGGTTTTTCTTTCATTGCATTTTTTTCAAAAAACATTTTCGCCGACTACACAAAAATTTTTGAAATAGTGCACTTTAAGTAGATGTACCGGATGTTGAAAACGGTATGTGAACAGCCTGTATAAACGGTTTGTAGTGTTTCATTATAAAAACTATGATCCAATAGTTTCTTCGAAACCACATAAGTTATTTTTATAAAATTTTACGGGTTTTGGGCGCTCTAGAAGGCCTTTGTTTTCCGGAAATTTTTACTCTTTAATTTTTTAATTAGTGTTATTTTTCGATATGGAATATGTGGTTGCAATTATTTGCAATATTAAGAAAAAAACCCTGTATGTATATTGAATTATTTATTTCAATAGTTTTTACATAATTAAGTGTAACAATTAAATAAAATATCACAACTAACCCGCCAACAGTGGCGTACTGAGCAGGGTTCCGTGGATTTCACGGAATACGGGCCCGGGCCTCAAAGGGGCCTACACGGTCCCTTTCCGTTGTCCAATTTATAAATTACAAATTTAAGGAAAACCAAAACTATTTTTTTTTATATTAACGGTTAAAATAAGGTTCTGACGACTAAAAAATTGTTATGACTGCTTGAGGTCTCCATTTAATGAAGAAAAATTTGGAGCTTTTCATTAAATTGATTTATGAGTATTTGAATTTCCTCAAACATAACGTTAAAATTTGGATGTTCATTAATATTTTTTTTAATTATGAATCTATCAAAAGAAGGATCGATCATTTCTCCTTTAAATGCTAAAATATGATTTCATAATAGTCAAAAATTGCAGAGTTAGATTTGTGAAGAGAAAGGTTCGAATTCAAAAATCTAAAAATCTCAAAAACGGCTGGACTTTGGTATACCTAGAAAAGATCGATAATAACTCTCATAGAATAACTCGGAAAAGCCAAAAACCCAATAAAAACAAAGTTTTCTATTAAATTAATTCACTTTCGATTAACCAGAAATACAAACTTTTAGTCAAATATCATTATCAGAACTTCCAATACTTCTAATGTGAAGTCTTTTTTTATTATGTCTTTTTATATACAGGGTGAATATAAAGTACGGAACCAAGCAGTTTTATTTTTAATCATTTGCCCCCAGAAAATAATAATTAATATAAATTAAAGTAATATAAAAAATGTGATCGTATTTTCATAACGAAATTTTATTTTGTTTTTGAGTTATGCGATTTGTTTTTGTCAAAATTGCAATTTTTGTGAGATTTTTTTTTTTTTTTTAATTTATATAAAGCAGATAGTTGTAATCCTTAGAGTATAGCTTTTATGAGAAAAATTATTTTATAGTGGGTTGCCATTTAAAAAAATATTTTTTTGTAGAACTCATAAACAAAAGGAAATTTCGAAAAAATTTATTCTTGTTAAATCATCACATTTTTATAGTACTTTATCACTCATCAATTAGTTTTTTCAAAAAATAAATAGTTTAAGCAAAAAACGTTTGGTTCCATACTTTTTATTCACCTGGTATATTATTATTTTACAAGTTATTATTCTTACATATTTTTTTGAATAATATTATAAATATAATTATTAATTTAAACACTGCCATGGTAGGTGTGGGGGCCCGTGCAACCACGGTGGAACATGGGCCCGTTAAGAGCTCAGTACGCCACTGCTCGCCATTATACATAATTATCTTTAGAAAAATGAATATTTAAAACACACTTTTTGGCTATTTAGCTACTGGTTACCACCAAAAAGAAGAAAAAAAAAACAATGACGGGATAATTAAAACTAATTAATTTTGTGTCATTTTTTGAGGTTTTACAAATCACATTTTTATGCACTGCAAATACTTTTTTAAAAGTGACAGCCTTAGGTCTAATGCTATGTGTACTTGTTTTGATTTTTGTATAAACAAAATTATTTTCAAAACATTTTAAATATTCAAATGATACAACAGACAAAATCCAGAGTAAACTCCTTTGACCACCTATAAAAAAAATGATTCAAATATAAAAACTTTTTTTGTACCTACGCTTGCTCCTAATTGATAATTAAAAGACATATTCTCAGTAATCTTAATTTTTGAAGCTTTTGAAGCCATTGTATAAATATTAAGATAATATTTCTGATTTACATTGTTCCAACAATGCCAATTTGTATTTTTTAGAACCTCAATTATTTCTTCATACTGAATGAGGCAATAATGTCATACTTTTGTATAAAATAAATAAAACAGCTTACTGTATTCTCGATGGCTTGGCCTTCTTTGTAGTATGCAATCAAAACAAAAACTGAACTAAATGAAATATAATACAAACGAAGGTAGACAATTAAGGGCATGCCTTGAACCTGATATAAATTACTATCAGTAATGTTGAAATTATAGATGACTTACCAAAGTTACAAACATCAAAATACTTATCAATACAAATCCTCCGGTTATGGCAAAAAAGAAAATAAAGAACCCGGAATTTGGTGTCATCCGTTGACCCATACTCAACAGATCTGTATGTCTTTTAATGCAAAATACCAGCCTTTGTCGAATAGTGCTTTGATAATTTTCATTAAAAAAGAGCTCTCCGTCATCAAAGTGATCATAATTGTCGTTGATATGTTTCAAATGGTGTAACAAGAAATAAATTTGAAAGCGATGATGTTGCAGGATGTAGGATATCTGAGCACAAGGAAAAGGCAGAACCAACGCGCAAACCACAAATATGATTCGGAGACAGTAGAAGAACACTTTTTGCATTATTAAAATATTTTTTTCCACCCAACCAATACTAAAATATATCTCTCCGTCACGTTCGGATGGAATTAGATTTACCAAAGTACCACTGCAACAAACTATAATAAGAAGCATTTGAAAAACAGTTACTTGAAAAGAGATTTTTTGGATGTTGCGGTAATACGAGCTTTCATCCACGTTGGGTTTCCATTGCGGATTGCTTTTTTGTAATTTGTAGATGATGTTTACGAAGTACAAAACGAAAACTATACAAACCAGTATCTGAAAATTGTATATAATATTACCGTTAAAGAATATAATTTGAGGTGGTTGAAGTATGAAACAATTTCATGTATTAAATAACGCGGCTAAAAAATAATAATGGAATAAAAAAGAAACTAATACAACTAATACATGAAACAATTAATTTCCAAAAAAATTGTTGTCTCTCAACAAGGAATAAAATGAGTGTTATCGACTTGTTTTTGGTACTTTTTATTCATTTATTCACTCGAAAATAAAATAAGTACCTCGGAAATATAATACCAATTTTTATTCATAAAATAAACTGACGCCAAATTAAAAAAAAACACCAGTTATAATCCCTTTACGATGTTTTTGATCAAAAAGTAACTATGAATTGTTTTTTCAAGTTCAACTTTTTTCTTAATTCGATTTTTCCTTAAACAGTATGAAACCAAAAACATCGTAAATGAATTATAAGTATAAACCTACTGAAAGTACTTACGTAAAACTGTATGAAATAAAACGGAGCGTACTTGAGAAATATCATCCTGTCGAAAAAATGCAACGTGTAATATCCCTGTACTATAATTGTGCCAGAAATACAGACAAAAGTAACTTTTAATAAAAATTCAACAAAAACATTTTGAAATATATCAATGGCACAAAAGCGTAGGATCCTTAACGGATCACCTGTAAAAAATAATTGAGTTATTTTCTTTAAATGTGCGGCATAGAGTCATTTAACCTCTTATTAAATTTTCTTCCACAAAATGCATCTGTCTTACACGCGTTTATTATAGATACAAACAACAATTATCTTTGTTAGTGTATTCATTTGATGTCTTTGTAAATATTTAAAATTGTCTGTTTCTCATTATTTCTAACAGCAGTTTGTACTTTTGTTATTGGAAACAGGTAATACTCAAACTTCGAAGTTTGAAAAAATACGCTCATGTTCAACTTACCAAATTAATTGACCTAAATTCTTCTATAGTCTTTATTACTGCTTTCAAATAAATTTCCGATCAAAGTGACCTGTGACTTTGGAAATTAAGTTAAAAAATATTGGGATGTCTTGATTTTGTTTAAATTATAATTCAGAAAAACATTACCTTTATTTGATACTGACCGGTAAATTAAACTTCCCGGCCTTGAGAAGTGAGGTGATCAGTGTAAACAAGCGACATTTGTTTTTTCTTGAAACTATATGAAATAAAATACATTACGATACACATCAGGTAAGCTTCCGATAGTAAGTACTTATTTCGATATACAGACTCGGCTCTTCCGTCGCGTAGACCTCATATTCTAATCACAGGAATCAGTGATAATATTTTTTTGATTTTTAATTTTATTTATTTGATATCTAATATACACGTATCTCAAAATTATGCCTCCACAAAATCTTGACGGTTTGTGAAATAGTTTTTGATGTGGCAATATCAATAAAATGTTGGAAGAATAATACAACATACTATTAGAAGGATCAATGTTGAAGGCAGAAATTTTAAACATTTCCTTTAGTTACTAGTCAATAAAGTGAATAATTTCTTTTTAAACAACATCTCAAATGCTTTGGTTCATCAGTTGGTGACGGTCAAAACAAATTGCTTTTTTTATGTTTCATCAATTACTAATGAATCTTAGCAATGCTTTCAACTAAGGTTCGAAATACTTTGTAGAGAGTAAAAAACTGTTCTGTAAATTGTTACTTACTCCAAGGGGTGCCCCCTACAGCACTGCGAAGTCGGAATGCCTTAATTTTGAGATCTAATTTTAATAGATTTTCTTATTACCTTGATCTAAGTACAAAATGTCAGAAGCTGTCAAATGTCAAAAACAGACGGAGGTCATGTCGTGTTCTTGTTTTACATTTGTCCCACCAGCAATTAAAAAATAGCCTTTATAGCCATTATAAAAATATAGATTGTTACGTTTAAAAATCAAGTTTATGATTTAAAAATCGCAAAATTTGATATTTTCCATTATTACAAAATTAATAAAATCAAACCAGAGAATATAGTTTATTACATTGCGAGTATGGACAGAAGTGAATGAGTACGTTATAGGTACTCTTTCCGGCGAGTGTTGTACACTATTTTTCCTACGACTAAAAATATCTTTATTAACTTAAACGACTGGGCAAATTGTAAATGAATGAATAAATGCAGGGTTTTTGTAATATGACAGAAAATTTTAGGCTGTTATGACATTCATTACATCCGTGATATGTAAATTGTATTAATTTCGCATTTTTCTGGGCTATTAGACAAATAATGTTATTTTTTAAACAAAAATAGATATTCAAACATCACATAGTTTAAGTACACAAAATGTATATTTAGAAGAAAATAAACAAATTACTTCAGTAAAATATAAGTAATAGATTGATAAAAAATAGAAATAAAAGTTCATCAAAATACAAGTGCAAAATTTAATTTAAGAAGTTTGAGAATTTTAAGTCTAAGTTTAAATTTTAGTTTTTTTATTTCAACCTCAAGAAATTCTTACTTTTCTCGTGTAAAATAGAAACAGCTATACTAACTACACAGACTAAATTTTAAATTTTTTTCTGTTCTTTTATTAGTCCACAGTAAATTTTATTCCGTACAAAAAGCAGTACAAATAACATACCTGAAAATATTTGCGTCATTTAGGATTTTATTATCATCACAGTGGAAACAGCCACAGCTATAAAACTAATGGACAGTTACAATTAAAATAGTTATTACGTGGAAATTTTTCAGGTGCATTTAGTCGAAAGAAAATCAAAAAGACTAACAATTGCATTCATTAAGAAAACTTAGACATTAATTTACGATTTGAAACTAGCTCAATAGTGATTATTCGTGTTGGAAATAAAATCGATATTAATTTCGCCTTTTTTTAATCCTAATAAGACTTTTTTAAAGTTAATAAGATAAAAAATAAATTAACAAAATTAATTAAAATTATTACATAGGATATGCCAAATTCATATTATACTATGGATGTTCCTTGAAATAAATAGTACAAATGTTGAAAATTTATTCTTTTTACGCAGCATTTTTTTCTTTGTTTCTTGCATTTATAAAAAATTAGGACACTTTTTTTACAATTTGTGACAACTTTGTCAACTAGTTTTGTGCCTACATAGTTCCAGACTCTATTTAAAAATTTATATTATTAACATTTTCAAAATTCTCTAAGAAATTAAAAGTTGTGTAGTAGTCATCTAAGAGTTTCTAAGACAGCATATAGAACCGTAATTCAAATAAAAGATGTAAAAAGAAACACACCACCTTTATCTCCCCTTTTAGCAAACATAAAAGTTCTATCATCAGCCACCGCCTCTTTTTTGTTCCAGTTCTCTCCTCTGGAGGAATCCCTGAGTCGACCGCACTCTTGACCAACACAACGGTTTCAAACCTAACGTCATTGTTATCCGAAACCGTGGTTAAATCCTTACAGGATGAAAAACCGAATGATATATGTGGCGCCAATTTCTGTCCGGGGACGGTAACCGAAGCGGCGAACCCAAATCTGCATCCTCCAGAAACATCAAAAATTCATCTAATCACAGGAATTTATCTAGCTTGCATGGTGGGAGCTTGTCTGGTAGTGGCTATTTTTGTTGATCCAATGAACAGGTAAGCTTATTATTCAAATCGAAATTATTATAGTATTAATACCTCGATGGGTTTTTAGATATGGAAAAGGGCGAAAAGGGAGCGGAAGTGGACTCTCTGGAATTAAGTTGCTTGCAGTTACTATAAAACAACTTGCCAATCCTTATCAAATATTAATACTTCCAATTACAATGTTCATTGGAGCTGAACAGGCTTTCATCGCTGCAGATTTCAATGCTGTGAGTTTGTTTATAATAAAATTTTAAAATTTAAAATTTAAATTGTTTTAAAAACATAAAATCTTTAGAATTTTTAACAAAATGTTGAGTAAGAAAACAAAATATACAGAAAGTGTTTTTTCGGAGTTTAATTTTTCAACCAGAATTAATTAATTAATTGAAAACAGAATTTGTGAGTGATCAAACTTTAATATTTTTTTTAATTTTTTTAACTATCGGTTATTTATTGCCTGCTTTAAGGTATAAAAAAACCTAGAGCCCTGTACCAAAGGAACCAACTTTTGAACACATCTCCATTTGCGAGAAATTATGTCGTCTATGTTAATTTAGAATTTTTTCATGAATTGTGATAAAATAGTAATAGTTTACACTCGAGGTAGTAAATATGGCATTAACCAGAGTGCGCCAGCCTTGAGATCGAATAAAGCACAATAATTTTATTTTATTCATAATCATCCTCCTTAAAGAAGAAAAAACCAATAAAGAATTTAGCAAATTTAGTAAAACATGACATATGAAGTGATCACTTCCTTATCAGTTTTCGTGTTGGGAAACAACCATTTTCCGGCCTGAACTGATATTTCATATCAATTGCTAAATGAAGTTGAATTGTCATACTTTCCAACTTTTCACATGCGAGGAATTTAATTATTATAGTACTTTATGATTGTGAGTAAAAACTCTCATAGTTGACACAGAAAATGCGTTCCAATCTTTTTTCAGTAATAAAAATATTCCTACCTCGTGTTCTACTAACAAGTTGTAAACTAAAATTGAGAAAAAAAACAGTCTCATTGACATGACAAACATGTCTGAATTAAAAAAGAATATTGTTCTCAATTTGGTAGTCTTAAAAATTTGCAAATTTATTCTTCGACGCTGCCAAAATTTACGGTTTTTCTCCCGTGTCCGCCACTGTATTATGAATTTTTTAATTTGTTTTTCTTTTAAAACTTTTATGCAACATTTTTACTTTTTTCTCATTGTGAAGTAAATGATATTTTACAAATTGGCAAACACCCATTTTTAGCAATGTAAATGTATATTAGTATATCTTTTTACTAAAATAAAATAAAGTTTATAAAGTTTTTCAATTCAAATTCATTTTACGATCAAAGTGGCTTGCGAATGTGAAATCAAGCTGGCAACCGACTGATGATATAAGATTTGACATTATTTAACGTTGCCAACTTAATCTTAATTAAGATTTTGATCATTTCTATCAGAAATTTCTGTCTAAAATGTTTTTTTTATTGACCAGATAAGTCTTATTTTTAACCGAATATTTAAAGCTTATTAACGAGTGATAATCCTGAATTCCATTTTCAAGCTAAAATAAAATGCGCAATGATTTATGAATATTTTTTCTCCATTTCCCCCAAACCCCTAATCCTGAAATTAATTCATTCCGAAACGTAGTTATTTACGTCACACCATCACGTGTGTAGGAACTAGAAAGATAATAAAATGCGGAAGAAGCGTAGGTATAAAAAAACGATTTTTTGTTGTGCTCAGGACATCCCCGAAATTATAGCTAGACTATCTCATAAATTTCTCCCTTGTAAACTAATCCTTTGGACGACTTAATGTTCCAGGCCTTCGTTTCCTGCGGTTGGGGAATAAGCAACATTGGCTTCGTGATGATCTGCTTTGGCATCTGTAACGGAATAGCCGCCATCTTCATCGGAAACTTAATCAAAATAACCGGAAGAAGCCCAGTCATATGTTTTGCCTTATCTCTACACGTGGCACTTATTGTGACTCTTCTTGTTTGGCAACCAGCTTATTCGAATAAACTGGTTTATTTTGCGATTGCTGCTCTGTGGGGAATCTGCGACGCCGTCTGGCTTGTACAAATTAACTGTGAGTATTTAAGAATCAAAAAATTGTCAAAAAAAAAAACTAATCCTATATTTAAACAGAGTAATTCACATAAGATAATGAGCCCGACGTTCTGACGATGCAACCCAAAAAACAAATTATATTTTCGTCTTGATCTAATTTTAGTTACGATTTGCATTTGCAATCCAAGTTATCTTATGTTGCTCTGACAGTGCAATTTAGAATTTATAAAAAAAAAACTGTTTGCCTACTTTTAATGTTTCATTCGTTCATACATTTTGTATTAGGTTTACACCGAAAAGACTTCTCTAATTTCTCCATCATTCCGCGAGAACTGAATGGCACTAATGATCGTTCTCTGCGCTGAAGTCAGAGTGACATCAAAGGCGTAAATGAAATTTGTTTTTTGAGTTGCATCGCCAGATCCTCAGGTCATTATCTTATCTGAATCGCCCTGTATAATTCCAAATTTAATTCAATATAATTTTGATAAGTAAATTACCAATGTATTTTACAAAATTTTAAGCTACAAACACGAATTATGTTTGTAGGTTAAAATTAGTTCAACAATATGCCATTTTTTTACTTCTCATAGACAGATCAATATAAAAATGAGCAAATTAAAAAAAATCAGTCAAAAAAAGTATTCAAAATCACGAGGCTAACATTACTATTTGAGACGAATTCAATTCTTTAAAAGATTTCACAAAACAATAAATAAATAACTCCACAAGTAATGCACAATTAATTTGCTTAGTTGACCGCCTCTAAAGCTTTTATAAACTTTCTGTAAGCAAAAATGTTCTTCTCTGACAGAAAACAAATGTTTATTTTTTTTTAATAAAAGGTTATTTTAGAAAAATTTTCTCATATATTTTTATTTTCGTATTAAAAGAGAAAACAAAAAAAAATATTGAATAAAAACAATTACAAAAAAAAACTACTGCAAACACAATTTCAATACCAAAAAATTCCAGTTCTCATAACTCAATGTAATTCCAGTTTTCAAATTAGTTCCCATAATTCCAAATTAATTCGGATAATTTTTAATAATTCTTTCCAAGTAATCTGTCAGTTCGGTTTAAATAATAAAATACTTCAACATTGAGCAAAATGTATTTCATAAAAATAATATAATATCTGTTCCATTTTCAGCGTTGAGTGGAATTCTCTTCCCTGGTAAAGAAGAAGCATCGTACAGTAATTTCCGTTTGTGGGAATCAACCGGATCTGTCATAACATACGTTTACAGTCCATATTTGTGCACCGACGTAAAACTCTATCTACTTTTGGGACTTTTACTTATTGGAGCTTCAGGTTATACAGCAGTAGAATATAAACAATATAAAAAGAAACACGCAGAAAAGGATCAAAGAACAAAAGGAAAATTTGAACTTGTTCACAATAATGTTAATTCGGGCGAAATCGCCGAATAATTTAGTTAAGTCTGTGATCGAATTTTATTATTCGATAGATTCTGTGAATCTAACAATGCACCTGTATATGATCATTAATAAAAAGTGTTTTATTTAACAATGTGTTTTTTATTACTTTATGCCCGACAGAGCGGACTAGCGAATTTGTATAACACTATAAAAACTTATTTAAATAATTTAATCATAAACATTTAAACCTACACAAATTATTTAGTGATTCCTAATTGTAAAAATATAAAATTAAGCACCTAGATACTAAATTATGAAAGTTTTTTTAATAACATTTTCACGACATTACTTTTCTTAATGCTTGTCTCTTATTACAAAACCAAATTCTAATCACTCTTCTATCATAACCCAGTTCCTTGGCCAATCTTGTGAATTCCAGACCTACAAATATAATTTATTTTGTATTTTCACTCCCTGATTAACAAGAAACATACCTGAAGGTCGTTGATTTTTTTCAAAGAAGGCGTTTAATCGGTCCAAAGCTTGGTATGTAAAAGATGTTCTTTGTTTACGCTTTTTAAATGAATCTGATGAAACATCACCAGTTTGAAGTTGCGAATTACTGATCATTTCTACAATAAAAAAATGTATGTAACGTAAAACAACGACAAACACATGACATCGTAAATTTACGAGCATGCAACATTTTATACAGAATGCAGAAAAGAAAAAAGCAAGAAAAAAATGTTAAACATTACTCCAAGGTTGGGGTAATGTTTCATAGTTACATCGGTTTTGTTGTTTCCAAATGATCAAAATCACTTTGTTCTAACCTAAAACAAATGATTATTAAGCAAAATGGTTTTATTGCAAATTCGTATCAAATATAAATAAAACATTACGATTACTTTTTATGATTTATTAAACTTGTAAAACCCAGAAAGTATAAAATAACATGCCATACTAAATATTAAATAAAACTAGTAATTTTTATTAAATCTGTATTTCATATTCCGAACTATATTTTATACTACCAAGCTTTAATTTTACACTCTTGATAAATATCTTCATATTTTGTGATTTGTTTTTTATTCCCATTGTAGCGTTACTATAACCTCAAATTTTCATTTTTTAGATTTCTGTCACCTACGAATTATAAAAAATAGTCTTACGTCTTACACAAATATTAATGAACGATGAAATTAAACTTATCTGAAGATTTCCACAAATTCACAGTTTGCACAAACTAAATATTGTTATTATTAAATGAATAAAACAGAAATTAAACATACATATGTAATAGAAATCTGTAATACCATAAACCAGATTGCTATAAACCAGCCATCTATGCTCTATTTAGAAAAATAGGATCAAGTCTCCTATATAGTAAACTGTTTTAAATAGAAAGTTAGTCAAGGTAAGTATAGAGGATGCCATACAAAAATATACCCCAAGGCCATCTGAATCAACAAGCTGCGCTTATAAGGCCGTTTCATTCTCCATGATAACTGTTTCTGCATAGTGGCCATGAAAACAAAAAAGACAGAACCTTATTGCGCGCCCTCGGTGGACGATTAATGCAACCATGAAAAAATTTTGTATACTAAAATTTACTTTTGTGTTTTATGGGTTGTATAATCAATGCGTAATTGCTTACTTTTGATTGTAATTTTTTCTAAGAACTAGTCGAAAAACATCAAAAATTATAACATTTTATACGAAAATATAATTTTATTTATTTAAAAAAATAAAGATTTACATTTGGGTTAGATAGTTATTTTTAATCTTTACAAATTTACAAGATAATTACAATAACTCTTTATTATTT